GTCAGATTATTTGAGTTGAATTCAGCTAATGCAAACACTTCAATTTCAAAGCTAAATTTGCTCATTTGTTTTATTTTTCTACTCTGGATACATTTTTAACTGAAAGCATTCTCTAAACTTCAGCTTAATCTTCACTAACTAGTGAACAGTTTTTTGGCAATATTTTCTTTTAATCAAATTAATTTTCATCCGACGTTTTTGTATAAATGCTGATAAAGAATTTGCGGAGCAAATGTTCCGTTTTTTTTAATTTTCGCCTTCATTTTTTTGAAGTAACTTATAACTAATATAAAAACTTATTTAATATGTACAAAATTCATGGTAGGATAGTCATCTGTGATACTTGTGCAGTTTTTTCTTTCTTCTTTTAACTAATCGATGGAAGAAACTTGAACAAAGCAACAAAAATAACAAAAATGTAGCAAGATGACATGAGCTCATTCTTATTATTTTGCGGATTCTTTTCAACTGCTTACAATCTTATCATTATTAGGCTACGAGGCGAACATAGGACTTCAACAGCACATCTGCACTTTTTTCTACTCTCTGCCATCCTCTTCAGCTACGTCCACGATTGACCGTAATCTCTCATCTCTTCCTCGTCACACGATCTCCTCCATGTCACCCTCAATGTAACGACCCACTCAAACGACAGCTTGGCGCGTGATGTCATTCGATGGCCTCCTCAACGTAACCTCAATCCATCTCTACTTTCTCCTACATATTTGTTGAGCAATAGGCACTTGGTTGGTTTGTTCCCAGCCAGAGTTTATTGTCACCAATTCTTTATGGCCATTTGATCTTTAGTATAGAGCCAGCGAAATGGGCAGCTGTTGATAAAAGTCTGCAGCTATCTGTTGGAAATTCTTTTCGTGACACGCAGTGCAAGTTTCTGACCCGAATAGAAGAAATAACTTGACATTTGTGTTGAAAATCCGAATCTTGTTCAACCTAGGCAATAACAAAATATATATAAATTATAAAACAGGGTTTAAATCTACTTTTATCATATTGACAAGGAGTTATTGATGGGAAATACAAGTAATATAATTCTGGGCTAATGGAAGTAGTCGAGTGGTCTGACTGTTTATAGGAGAATTAGATTAATATTCTTGGAAAAAAGGAGCCAACTTCAAAATTTGGATAGGAACAAAGTTTAAAATGAAATAGTATGTTAGTATAATAAATTGTGTAAATTAATCAGGAAACTGTAAAAACGAAATTGGTAATAATAATAATAGGGACGATATGCATAACAAACATACAGAAAATGAACAAAACCAACAATAAAGAATTTAAAACACCAGTTGTGTTTCCATACAAGGAAGGAACCTCTGAAACCTTATGTAGAAATCTTAACAACACAGGAATAAATGTGGCATTCAAACCCACAAACTCATTTAGAAACAAATTATATCGGTTAAAGGATCCTGTAAAGTTCATGCATTTATTCCCCTTGATGAATTTAAATAAAGCAAGGACAACAGCGGTTTGTGCAGAATAATATGGTACCATCATTTATTTCGTCGGCTTCTCATCAGCTGCTTACAGCCTAAATAAATTGTGAGGTTTACGTACAGAAAAGTTTTAACATACTTGCAAATTTTTACATGTTGTCAGTTGACAGAAAGTTCCAAAGTAAGTGAACAGTGCTCAGAAAATTGCGCTTATATAGTTTTTACACAGGCAATTCAAGTTTAAACAGAATAGATGTATGCATGCAATGGTAAAGGAGTTACGTAATAAAGACGAGGGGTGAGTAAGATGGTGAGTAACTAATAAATTTGGTAACGATGTACTGAGTTCAAATCACGTCATAGAAACAAGAGACAAACAAATTTCAGATTTAAAAAGAAAAAAGGAGGGGTGAGGTTAAAGACAAAGATTACGTAATCAGATTAGAGAATAAAGACATCCAGTTACCATGGCAAGGAAAGACTGATAACTGCTTCTTTCTGAACACATAAATCTGGTTTGAAACGTTTGATGGAAACTGCTTCGGCAAACTTGAGGAGAATGGAGCTCCTTTGTCTATTGATAATTTTGAAGGATTTCTCGATTTCCACCTCATGACCCGTGTCGAGGAGATGCCTGGCGATGGCACTGTTTAAAGAATTTGTTCCCTTTAGACGTAAGCTTTTTGGTACATGTTCAGAAAATCGTAGATATGCCCTTCTTTCTGTCCTTCCTATGTATCTGCGGGAGCAGTTACATAGGAAGGACAGAAAGAAGGGCATATCTACGATTTTCTGAACATGTACCAAAAAGCTTACGTCTAAAGGTGAACAAATTCTTTAAACAGTGCCATCGCCAGGCATCTCCTCGACACGGGTCATGAGGTGGAAATCGAGAAATCCTTCAAAATTATCAATAGACAAAGGAGCTCCATTCTCCTCAAGTTTGCCGAAGCAATTTCCATCAAACGCTTCAAACCAGATTTATGTGTTCAGAAAGAAGCAGTTATCAGTCTTTCCTTGCCATGGTAACTGGATGTCTTTATTCTCTAATCTGATTACGTAATCTTTGTCTTTAACCTCACCCCTCCTTTTTTCTTTTTAAATCTGAAATTTGTTTGTCTCTTGTTTCTATGACGTGATTTGAACTCAGTACATCGTTACCAAATTTATTAGTTACTCACCATCTTACTCACCCCTCGTCTTTATTACGTAACTCCTTTACCATTGCATGCATACATCTATTCTGTTTAAACTTGAATTGCCTGTGTAAAAACTATATAAGCGCAATTTTCTGAGCACTGTTCACTTACTTTGGAACTTTCTGTCAACTGACAACATGTAAAAATTTGCAAGTATGTTAAAACTTTTCTGTACGTAAACCTCACAATTTATTTAGGCTGTAAGCAGCTGATGAGAAGCCGACGAAATAAATGATGGTACCATATTATTCTGCACAAACCGCTGTTGTCCTTGCTTTATTTAAAGATCCTGTAAAGCCCATTAAACAAAACAACCATTGTCAAGTTAAATACACTGGTCGAAGTAGTAGGACAGAATCAGTCAGACTAGTGGAACACAAAAGCCAAGTGAAATATAGATTGGATGACCCCAATAAGATAAGAAACGTAGAAAATAGCTCAGATATAGCAATACATACAAATACACACAACCACACAGTAGGATTGGATAGATTGGCAAGCTTTATTTATCAAATCAACTGAGAATACATGCAGTAGAAATAATACAACATCTGTCACGACCATCTGGAAAATTCTATGACTCCTACGGCGAATGGGAAGGAATAAAAAGTACTGTAAAATACAAGTGTAGTTCTTAAGTGATATGATTATGAATAATAAAACGTGTGTGATATATCCAATAAACAAATTAACATGGAGTTATATACTACCACAGTGCCCAAGTTTCACGCAAGTTGTGTTACTACAAAAAGTATTTTACAGCAGCAACAAGAATCAGGTGAATGAAGTTCAGATGAGAAAAGGGAACAGGACAGAAGATATAGAAAAATCAATGACGTTGTATATATATTCACAAGGTTAATGCAAAATATTTAATCCTCCTAACCACTTACATCATTTTGAACTTATGTTATTTACAACTCCTATCGATAACTCGTTGTCATGGTTATAAACGTATTTTCATACCTTCTCTTAATTAATATATTTTGGTATTATTTAGGCTCTAAGCAGTTGAAAAGAATCCACGAAATAATGAAATTGAGACCACCTTATTCTGCTGTGTTTATTCCTCCTGCTTTCAAGTAATAGCCTGTGGGTATTTCATTGGTTTCAAGTTCGACTACAGATTAATTAATATCAATTAGAGAACTATTGAAAACCAAAGAGTAGTGGACAGAGCTACTACAGCCTAGTTCGAGAATCTTCAGCAGTACACACCCACGCCCCCCCTCCTCGGGGACCTTCAGGTTACGAGTGGAGCTCATTGACCATTGAGCCACTGCGGTCAGAATCCAGTAGCTCATAAATTCTAACTAACTTCATGCTTTCGTCAAGTTTTTCAGCGTAAAAAGGCAGTGTATGAAGTTTAATAAATCAAATTAAATAATAATATTGCCAACTGAAAGTTCTAACATCCATACATGATCCTATCTCATTGAAAAAAGTGCTGTCTACCTCATGTGATTTTGTAATTATCAAATGACATTTACTAACCTACATCTCTAAAACAAAACTACGTAATAAATCAAGTTATCGTCTGTTTTCTTATTTTTTTAAAGATATTTATTTATATGCTTTACAATTTATTCGCGTGTTTCACTAAGTAGCTGAAATAATGTCACAGTACGTAGCTGTTCCTACTTAACTTCATATCTATAAATAAATAAAGTATAGAATATTATCTTGCTGCTTAATGAACCACTCTACAAGTAACTACGATGACATTATTCAGCCTTTTTATCTTATCATATATACGATAAATGTTAAGAGAGAAGAAAGGAGTAGTGGTCATGTGCTTTTCGTTCTATTAATAGTTCCCCCTTTTATTTTTATTTTTTCCCTTCACGTTCCCCAGTGGAATATAGGGCTTCAAGCTAGTGGCTTGAAGTTTCTGTAGCAGTGTTTATTTTACAGGATGGGGTTGCTAGCCTCATGCCCAACCATTCCTCTTCACCAGCATTATTTCTGACTTAGCGAGGTAAAGGAGTGCGTCGGCCGGGAATCGAACCCCGGACCATGTGCATCGTCCCCCTTTGTTAACCAACTTTTTTTAAATTCCTTTTACGTTCCGAGTGAAACATAGGACTTCAAGCTTCAGCTTTGAAGTTTTAGCAGCAGAGATGTTTTTTACAGACTAGGGTTGCTAGCCCCACGTCCAACCTCCCCTGTTTTTGTCGGGGTTACAACTGACTAAGTAAGGTAAAGGTGTCCGCTGGCCAGGAGTCGAACCCCGGACCACCTCTGTGGTTAGCGAGCAACCTACCGCTGATCCACTGACGCACTATTAAATATCTATATTTTATAGATACTTAATTTTGTTTTTCTTTCGGTGCTTGATTTTTAGATTCCCTGATATCAATGCATCATATATCAAAAAGTTGTGTCAGTTCATCAGAATTATCATTAGCTCATACTACCACTACTGCATCACATGTGAATGAAATTGAAGAATTGTCTACCTCTGAAATATCAAGTTGTCGTCTTTCACCACAATTTATTAAACATAAACATAAAAAGTGTGCATTACATGCAATATTGAAAGAATTACAAAATCTTAGTTGTTGTATAAATTTACTAATGAATTTACTAGACCAATTACAAGTAAGTAGCTTTCTTGTTACTCTGTTTTCTTTGATTTTCTAATTGTTGTAATCATAACCATAATTCCTACTCTTAAGGATGAGATAACTAACACTGATGACATCGAACTTTTTCCACAAACACTGACGAATGCAATTATGATTATTTTTGATTATGAACTCTACTTGGTTAGTGAGAACTGATAAAACCCGTGCAGGATTATAAGACACACTTACTGTCTGTGAGCTATTGATACTTATCCCTTTCTTCAGGCTGAAGTAAGTACAGTGAGACTCAAACCCAAGACCCATTGGCTAAAAGTCGAGTGCTCATACCACTGTCCGACATCTCCACACATCTTGGACCACCATAACATATTTGTGTTTCTATTTATATCAGTTATTGTGTGGGGTTTTTTTGTTCATACTGAGAAACATTTCAATCATAACAAGGGGACGCAAACTATGATGTGTGCAAATTAATCTCTTTAATCACCTCTGTTTAACAGCGAAGGAAATCAAACATTACAACAAACATTATAATAAAGGTTTTTTTTGTATTTCCCAATGAATGAAAAGCAAAACGATATTTTTTTACTGACTTTTCGCTAGTTAATGCTAACAGCTTTATCAAAGTATTATTAAACCAGAATTTACAAAATCTCAACTTATACATAACAACTTAATCATCGTTCCTCAGCATGGGGTCATTTTTCCGTTGTCAAATTGGCCAATTGGTAAAGATAACAAAACTAGGTGTAGATTGTTGGATTTGATAAGTGTGTAAAATTATAAAAGCAGCATGTGTTCACATAATGAAATTGCTTATCACATTCGTGTTGATTTTGTCACTTCATGGGGGAGGGAGGTGTTGTAACCAGGTCAAATTCTGTTTCAGTCCAGCATTCCTATTCAGACAATTTGGATATGAAGTGCTTCTGATATCAGACGTTCTTTGTGATTCCTGAAATTTTTCTGGATTATTTCAATATTGTCAAAATCAATTTTGTGGCCTGATTCTAAAGTGTGTAGACCTATGGCTGATGATTTTTCAAGCTTTTCTAGTTCAACTGGATTTCTCGGTGGTCGAACAGATGCTCTACGGTGTTCATTTCTTCTGATTTTGATTTCTCTCGATGTTTGTCCGATGTATATCGCATCACATTCCAAGCATTTTATTTTATAGACACAATTAGATAGAGAATCTTTAGGGATTCGGTCTCTTATATGGACAAGGTTGCCTTGTAGTGTGTGTGTCTGATGTTTTGAAGAAAACTTTGATGTCGAGCTTATTGAGTACTCTTCTGATATCGTCTGACGTCTCCGCTCTATATGGAATGACAACTGTTGAGGTCCATGTTTTCGGAACACGTTTTCGACCATACTTAATGTCAGTGTTGATTTTGTTGATGAAGTTCTTTGGTTAGTTGTTTTGCTTGAGAGTCTCAGTAACGTTTGATATTTCTTCTTCTTTTTCTTTCTCATCCGTTATCGGAGAGTGTGCTCGTCTAAGTTGTTATATATATGCTGAGATTTTGTAAATTCTGGTTTAATAATACTTTGATAAAGCTATTAGCAGCATTAAATAGCGAAACGTCAGTAAAAACAATATCGTTTTGTTTTTCATTCATTGGGAAATACAAAAAAAAATTTTTTATAATGAATATCATATACCCAATGCCTAAATTTTTTCAAACTGTTAAAAGTGAACTTGGTTTGAACATATATAATTACAAAAAACAGCTGCAGTGAAAAATTTTCCAAGAAAACAATATTGATTATAGGAGATCAACATTATCTTAAGACGAAGATTAATATATTTTTAAAGTGTGATCACGAAATGTCTTCAGTTAGAGAACCGTTGAAAATCAGGGTGAACCCTACATCCGTTTCTTCCGAATTTGAAACTCTTCAGCAGTACTCCCCTATAACCCCACTAAGGATTCAACCTAGAACCTTCAGGTTATGAAGCAACCCATTCAGCCACTGGGATGGAATCTAACTACCCAGGAATTCTAACTTCTGCTAATTTGTGAGATGTTGTATAACAGCCAGCCAGTATCATCGTCAAGTACGTGTCTTCACATCTGACATTCATTAGACAGTTCGTAAATGGATCTCCACAAATGTATTCTTCTCAGAAAATACAATTTCAAGAGAAGCTGTAACGTCATAAACTGAAAACAGCTTAAAATCCTTTCCATTTTAAGATTAGTATCAACCAACAAGTTTTCTAGTCATTGTATAACATTAAGAGTCTACATCAGCTGCACCTAGTGCCCCTCACCTGCTCATCAACTGTATTTTTAAATTTATTACCTCCATGACATTCCACGATCAGATTATTTGCGTACTTCCTTGAATGAATCAATAAAAAAAGTCAGGCATCAGTCTTTTACTCTGCATTCTTCATCATTATTTCTTTTATTATACTGAAGTGTACGCTTAAACCCATCTAACACATTGTGCGTCGCTGGCATAGCGGTTACGACGCTCCCCGACCATGCACATTGTCCGGGGTTTGATCCCCGTCCGACGCACTCCTTTACGTCGCTAAGTCAGAAATGATGCTGGTGAAGAGGAAAGGTTGGGCATGAGGCTAGCAACCCCATCCTGTAAAATAAATACTGCTACAGAAACTTGAAGCCCTATGTTCCACTGGGGAACGTGAAGGAAGAAAAAAAGCACATTGAATATATTTATTACGATTTCCCGTCAATTAATTGTATTAGACCTGTTGACATATTGGCTCTTAGTCAAAAATCCCGGTCTAACAAAATCAGTCGAATAATAATCCCAACAAATAACAACTAATATATATTGCATAAGAGGTGGCTTTCGTTGCTTGATGGCTCATTGGATAACGCTCTGGCTATTAAAGCTATTGTTGCTGGATTCCAGAGTCCGTGGGAACAGCATCACTCATTTGAAGCGTAAGTACATCCAAATGACGAGTCCCAGATCGGATAAAACGTCCCACTGAAAGTCTGTTGTGCTCAAACAAGTTATAATTTAGTTAAGTTTTAATTTTACTTACTGCTGAAAGTAACCCAAAGTAATGATTGAATAGCTTATATCACATTTTCTAACTGAAATGGAAATCCAACAGGAAAAAATATACGGGTTACTATTGCCAAAATAAACGGCAATCAACCGTGTTTTTTTTACTCAGTATTCCACTTTTTTATGATTATGTGATTATAGTAGAGTGACTGGACAGTAATCTGAATGTCAAATATGACTGAATAATCACTACCATATCTAGATTCTGTGTGACATATAATTCATTTATTGGTATCTGATGTTTGCTATCAGTGATAAATTATGAGTTACTGACCGGATAACTCAAATTAATCAACTGAGAAGCATATATATATATATATATTATATATATATATCACAAGTATTTTCGACTTCGTATGGAAGTCTTAGTATAAATCTAAATGTTATTGCAGTGTTAAATAGTAGAAGTCGATTAGTAGGTTGGGGCACCTTCAAAGCTTTCATAATCTGCGTAGACAACGTCTTCAGCCCCTCACTTCAAGATGAATTTACCTTTTAGATTTACTTCTGGAGGTAATAACCATCTTTTCTGATGAACTTGAACATGACTTATTGTCTCCACAGACTTTCTTATCCTCATATTTACTTGTATTAGTATTGATTCTTTTGTTGACCTGATATTTGACCTACTTTCTGGGTAAATTCTTTTTAGTTGCTTTATAAATCTGATCTATTTTGATGGCAGGTTTATCAGCACTAAGATCATCCACCTGAGCTACAAGCATTCTCCATCATATATATATATATATGCTTAGAAAATTTCTCTTCCCTAACTTCATACTTATTTATTTTGTTTCTATACTAGTGTTATGAAGCATGGATCAAGAATTCAGTGAATTTACTAACAGAATTATGGTTACTGGCGTTTTCAGATGTTCTTTCTTCACATCCAAACAAGGATACTGAGACAGCTAATAATCGGCTGAATGGAAAATCAAAAACTCAAATCACAGATTCTGATAATAATAATAATAATAATAAAACAACTGAGAATATCCAATCCTTCAATGATGAATATTCGCCTACATTAATACGTAAAGTGTTATACAGTTTCGAAGAAGAATCATCATCTCTTGGTTCTATATGGCATTATTTATTATTGCCTAGTCGACGTTTTAGAAGTTATTGTCATTTACTGCAATCCTTGGTGGATCAGTTGTCGCATCACTCATGTTCTGTTTTATGTAAAGGTAAATTTAAGCATTTTCATTTGAAACCGTAATTTTCATCTTTTCTGTTTTTCATGAAATATAATGATAATGATGGCACTAGTAGTAGCAAGAATAATAATGGCTTTGTTCTGAAGGATACATTATACATGGTACAGAATTCTCGACGTGTTATATGATTATTAATCCCCCTAAGCTCTATGTGGAAATAGGGCCTTCAGCAACTCATCTTCGTTACACCCTGTTCTCTGCGGCTTTTCTTTTTAGTTGGCTCCACGATTCCCCATAACCCATCACCTGCTGCTCACACGATTTCCACTTTGTCACCCTCACACGCCCACCTCGTTGTTTCCCCAATCGTGTTCCACTCCACAGTCTGCCTAACATGTGACTTCACTCAACACACTCCTCAACATATGTCGAATCTTCAGGTATTGGTTTTGTAGGGATTTTGTTTGATTGCATGGAGGATTTCATCATGAGCTGACCATTGGAAAAGCTGGGAGTACTGGACAGCTGTTTCGTCCTAGTTTGGGACTCTTCATCAGTACGCACCCACCGCCAGGGTTCGAACCCAGGACCTTCTGGTTACAAGGCGAGCTCGTAGACCCGAATCCATCTTTATTTCTTCCTAAATATGTGTTGAGCAGTGTGTTCTTGGTTGTTTCGTTGCCACAGTTCCTCGTTGCTTATTCTTTCTGGTCATCTGATTTTAACTATCGAGCGAAAGTAACTGTTGTATTAGTCTGCTGGAAATGTTTTCGTTGACGCGTGCTCCAACTCTGTGAACCATGCAGGAGCACTAATTTCACATTAGTGTTGAAGATCCGGATTTTGTTCCTTATGCTGCATGCAGCAAATTTCTACACTGATTTCACAGTAATGAATGTTTGCCTTGCTTTTCCGACTCTGGTTAGTTTTGACATCCCCATCTTCACCGCCTGTAGTTGGAAGGATGCTGTTCTGGTCAGTTAAGTGAAAGAAGTGACTTCCTTCAAATTTCACTTGTCGATAGTGATTAGTACTTGTTGCTGTCGATTGTTGGTTATCTTCATCACCTTGTCTTCTCTATATTCATTTGAAGTCTTGTATTCACTGCCTCTTCTGTCAACTAGCTCTGTGGTGAGAGATGGTTGCTAGCCAAATTGATTGACAGTAATTGAGGTCAATGTTAGTCATGTGAAAACAAGGTCAGGATGGAGAGGCGGATACAGTTTACATATAGATGAACTGACACAGCCACAAGAGATGCAAGGTTAACTTTGTGTGAGAAACAACCAATCAACAGACTGTATTTTTACTAACATTAACCTACAATAATGTACATCAAATCTTGTTGCTGGTCTTCGCCTGTAGATCTTCCAGTATATGTGACATTAGACGTAAATCATCCCCGAAGTCCAGGTCTTCTCCTCGCCTAGTTCCGATCCTAAGCTCAGAAAAAGAGGGATTTTGGCTAGCGGCCCTACTCTAGAAAATCAATCCAATTGCTACAAAAATTCAAAAGTATGGGAAAAAATACAATCTTTTATGTCGCAAACTACTTGCTTCTTGTTAATAATCGGTGACGTATCATTCTAAGCAATATTACTAATATATTCAATGCACACTATAATGACTTGCAATGTTTATCCTTGATTTCCTTTGAAAAATCAATAATAGTAGATTGAAACCAATTTGAAAATAAGCGCGAGTACACACTGCTGTTCAAGGACGTAATTAGATAATTAAAAGAACATAAAATAGAGGAAATAAGATGCATTTTTATGCATGGAAAATTTGTAAGCAGATCGCCTGTGTAAATTATCATCCTAGTTTTGTAGCAGCATGTACGTCTGTAGCACAGAGGTAGAATGCTCGCCAACCACTCATATGGTCTGGGGTTCTCTTCCCGGCCGACGCACCCCTTTACCTCGCTCAGCCAATACTAAGACTGGTAAAGGGGGAAGGTTGGGCATGAGGCTAGCAACCCTATCCCGTAAAAAATAAACACCACTGCTACTGAAACTTCAGGCCTCTAGCTTGATGCCCTGTGTTCCACTGGGAACGTACAAGAATAAAAACAAACAAAAACAATGTAAAAAGAAAATTTCTAAACGTTTCCTTTGACACTAATTCTTTCTTTTTCATGGATAAGGAAAACAGAATGGTATTCAATGACGAAGTAATTCTTTCCAACGACTTTATTATTTAGCTGTATATTCTCATTTAAAATGCATAAAAATGTCTATCACCTATATGATATGAAAAAATTTATAGTGTGTGGCAGGAGAGGAGTGGTTGGAAACGATGAAGTACATACAATAAGGGTGAAAAAAACGCCTATCCATACATACATATACACTTCTTTCGCAAAATGTTTTAACTAAACGTTTTTAGTTGGCCTTTTCAATTACTTAAACTGTTTGGCAATGGATAACTAGTCACTTATTAAACTGTGAATTCAAGATTGAATTAGAAGCGCTAGTTAGATTAATCCATTGGTTGGTTTCTTGTTGTCTGACATGACACTAAACCTATGAAACAATGTGGGAGGATTGGCCGGTAGTGGCAAAACCTCTATAGAGTCATGACCACTTCCTGATGCCATTTATATCTGTCATCTTGGATACTGTCGACAGTGGCTTGCAATATAAGCTGCTGATGTGAGCTGTTTTCTTGTGAATGACATGCTGGCATATCCTCACAAAATTACATTTCCTTACTTGAAACAAAAGAGGTTAATTTGAAATTTTCTGGGTACATTAACTGGTCCTATGTCTAGTCTCTAGTGTTGACTGAAATCTGTAAAATTTCATGATATTGGTAACTATTAGAGTGAGAAATGAAGTTAACTGGTGGATGGTGACTAGCAGTGGAATCCAGGATGCCCATTTCGTCCTATTTGGGACTCGTCATCTGGATGTACCACCAATTAACTTCTAATTACATACCCAGACATCGTCGAAGCATCTGCACAAGAAGCCGACATGTCAACCCGAGACCGAGCACTTCGGTCCAATCAATCGACGGGAAAATCTAAAATTCAATTAAATGAGAAATAAAGTATTCAAAATTAGAGGGACTTCCTTTGCTCAAACAATTTCACTATTATCAAATTTTAATCAATATGCACGACACCCGCGTACAACCAGATAAGTATACTAAAGTATGCTTGGATTTGACGTACCTCTTGTATTTTAGTCTTGATGCTATTATTTGTAACTTGTAATGGCAGCAAAAATGAATAGACACCACAGACAGATGACCTTGAACCAACCAATCAGATCGCTGGTCATTAAAAATGGATGCTTTCCATAATCTTAGTTGCAAGTTTCACACTGATTCAGGGTTAAGGCTATGGTAGGATTAAGGTAGGGGTATGATTAAGGTTAGAATGAAGTTTACAAAGATTACGAGAAGTATCCATTTGTAATGCTGAGTGGTCCAAGATCATTTGACTGTGGTGTCTGTTCTTTACTTTTGCATAAGCAACACCTTCATCTATTAATATTTACATTGTGTTTAATCGTTTTCCTACTTTCATATTTCCCTGTAGCTGTGTTTAGCCACTTCTTATTAACCTGTCGGTCATTGGACACTACACTAGATCAAGCTGAAAGAGTTGCACTAGCATTCCAGTTATCCGTGATTGTTTTTCCCTTGGAGAAATTCTTTTTCACTTCAGATGAAACTATTCAAAACCATATCAATATGTCAACAAGTGATAAAGAAGATCAACAAAACTCTAAGCCTGTAACTGATGAATGTCGAATGAAGGATGCTGAATGCAATGATGACTACGGTGATAATGTTGTTGTTGTTGACAGATTACAAGGGATTTCAACTTGTTTGTTGCATTCCTTGACCACTTATCCATTGATTCGTTTTGGTTGGTTAAATAAATATTCACGACGTGGATTTCAGCCTAGACTGATTTTCCTGTTTACTGATCGTTTAATCTATGCAAGTCGAATTCGTGGTGTACTTGGTTTATACTTGAAAGTAAGTCAACATTGTTGTTCCGTTGGTTTTTGTTTCAATATTGTATTTATTTGTTAAAAAGAATCATCTTGACATCCCTACTGTCTGGTAACAGGAGTATAAAATTAGTGTCTGTTACAAAGTCAAAATATACATATATGTGTGTGTTATTCTTTCTGTTCATCAATCAAGCTTCGTTTTACATCATAATTAAGCTTTATAGTGCAAACACATATTGAGTTGTATACTTGTCGCTTATACCCTAATAAGGTTTCCCTACTAGTGTGTAATTGTTCGAGTTCTTAATACTATATTACTAATATTATATTACATTATTATTATACAGTTAAGCAATCAGCCTGTTCACATGCTCACCAGATTAAACTTCCATCATATTGTGTTTCTTTTATTAGACAAAGCAATAAGAAGACGTAATTCGTCTGAATCGTGTAATGTATTTGTACAACACATTTCGAACAATCTGATCACACATGGACTTGTCATAGGAATATTTATTTATATATGGGGAAATAATTAAGAGTTAAGAGGTGAGAAAACAGACTTAGGTCAAGTTAAAAGGACATACTGAAGGTCAAAATAACAATGAAGATCAATAAACCAAATGAGAGAGGTAATAGTACATCTACCCTGGCTAGTATCAAAACAAAGTTTATCAAGGAAGGTTTAGTGTGATGACGAATTGTTGCTTTGATCGCATAAAGGTGGTTTAAACTTCCTAATTGTCAGCTAGGGCTTCCACCAACTTCAGAATACGCCCCAAACACGTTCTATAGATAGGTTTAAAAGACGTGTAAAAATCAATGCTATGTCCTGTCTCTATAATATATTTCGCGATAGAGGAGCTAGGTCGCCTGTTCTCACCATTAATGGGTTCTCGGGATTCTATTTGCTTCTGAAGCCATTTAGGAATATGCTCTGAAGCCTTTGCTTTCAGAGATCGATGAGTCCTCTTTCTGATGTGTGTCCACACGTGAATTTAAATTGGTAAATACAGTAGGATGTGACATCATTTTTCGTATGATCAAAGGGCTTAGATGGACATATCAGGTTAACATTCTCAATTATTGTAATCTTAGTTGCATAAAAACTCTTTTTAACCATAGCGTTCAATCTCTGTCAAGTTACCAAGCTGTTATGATCACCCTTATAGGGTAGATTGATGCATACGTCTCTCCTAGCAGCGAGTTGGAAAGTGGGTCTAGGTGTTCTGACTACTTTACATCTCCTAGTGAACTTATCTCGATACATATTATAAACCAGAGTTTGTGACTCAAGTGATTCGGTTCTCTGATCTGAGTCAAACCAGGTACCTAACCAGATCAACGAGAGAAGCGACTGACCGGCGTTTAGTTCTCTTTGATCCGGCTAGCAAGCACCACTAATTGATGTCAGTGCTATCCAACTACTTATGCCACTCAATCAGTAATATATAGAATCACGCATATATGCTTACTTTCTTGATTGCCACTTATCGTCTCAAGCAGATGATATATTGTGATCTAAATAAGAATTTCGGTTTCCAAAGGAAACTATGGTAAAAAAAATTTCACTTCGAACTGTGTCATTTGGCGAATTAATCTGCAAATTGTGAGTTTGAACCAATCTAGTTTTGTTTGTGAAGTAATAATGATGGTGACTAGCAGTGGAATTCATCCACCATTCACCAGATATCATCATCTTTATCCTCAGACATCATTGAATCATCTGTAGTGGGAGATCGACATGTCAACAGAAGGTGAACATTTCGGTTCAGTCAATTAGCAGGAATGACAAAATTGAATTAAACAAAATAATAGTGAACTATGCTGATGAGAAATTTCTTCTTGTGTAGATTGAAGCGGTAGTCGTATCTACGTTACACCATTTTTCATTTATCCCTCCAAGTCTATTAATTCGAAACTGACGGACACATCTTGTCTGATTTGATTAAATTAAATTTCATGTCACTTCATATTATTGATAGTATAATTCGAGGTTCACTTGACTGGACAATATCGACAGCTGAATGCGACATTTTTGTTCTTTTGTTGTTTTTTCAAATTCATTTCAGCTAGACACAAACTTTGGTCTAGCTTGTTTTTGCTTTATTTTTTTCCCCTTCTGACTGAGTAATTTGAGAATAATTTTATAATTAGTAAAATTGTATCAAATTTCTGTGAAATGAAGTAGAAATTATCGACTCGATATTGTCAATAAATTTAACAGTCATCATCATCATTCTAACCAACCTACAACAGAAAGCATCAATCATCATTATCAATGAAAGAAATATAAAACAACGAGGCCATCTCTTTGAAAATCAGTGTGGAATTCTGTTTCACTCAGCATAAGGAATAAAATCCACATCTTCAACACTAATGTCAAGTCAGCGAGTACTTCTATGCGGTTCAGAGATTTCGTCCATCACGAAGGCATTTCTAGTCGGCTGCAGACTTTCAGCAACAGCAGCCTTCGCTGAATCGATACCGGCTAGAGAGGATAAGCAACAAGGAGCTCTGGGAACTAACGAACCAAGAACATTTTGCCTAGCAAATATGCCGAAAGAAATGGAGATGAAGTGGACACAGCTTGAGTAGGCTGCTGGGTGACATCATGCGCCAGGCCCTCAAGTGAAATCCGAATGAGAAAGGATGAGTTAAGCATGAGTTTGAGGGCGACATGGAGGAGATTGTGTGATAACGAGATGAGACCCTATGGGCAATCATAGAGACAGTTGGAAAAGACTGCAGAGAAGAGGGTATAATGAAGATGCACTGCTGAGGCCCAATGTTCCACTCGAAACCCAAAGGAATAACATTATATAAAACTTCCCTCATGCAATTATTTCCCTTGATAAATTTTAAATAATGAAATAAAAACAGCTTTTAAAGGAAATAAGAAGGATTTTTTATTATTTCAGAGGTTTTTCATCAACTACAAACAGTAAAATACACTATCAGTCAGTCTGTGTGACATAATTCTGACATACTTCAACTGAACAGCCAATTCGCTTTTATGATAAGAGTAGAATAACAGGCCGGAAACGGATACGAGGTACACACAAACACAGGAAGTTATGATAATCATTTGTGGCTCAAAGAGATACATTCTATATTTTAAAGACAAGAGTGCTCTAGAATTTGGAAGCAAATTTACGCATAACTGGGGATAGTTACGTCATCACATGAAAAGCTATTGAAACAGAATGAAAGACGTTAATAGTAAAATCCTTAAGAGAATATGTGAATGCAACTATCAGGTCAAATCATAAAAATGAAATGAAATGCCGATTTGTCAAGGTAAACGAGTCACAGCACTCTTTGGATGGCGACAGCTTCGTCGATTCAAAATAATTATAAGGCGCTGTATCTTATTCATCACCTTAGAAGATTCTGATGTGTTTATTTAGTTTTCTGTGTCACCTGGATACCGAGCTATAGGGCTTTTAAACAAAGCTGAACCTATTAAACGTAAACTGTTGGGAACCTGTTCAATAATCATCGTGAATAGCCATTTCCCTGTTCTTCCTATGTAAATGTGGATTCATAAGCACGGTTAAAGCTGATGGTAGTAGGAAACTGGTCTATTGTGGTCTGTGTAATTGAACAAGTTGTTTTATACAGGTGGATATAGCAATTTTCATTCTTCTGGTGGTTTTTTTACCTAACTTCATCACCTTTAAATCCTCATTTAAGGAGCACTGGTTTCTTCTCGACAGTACTGTACTCTGCCTTCCTCCTGCCACGTTTACAGTACATCTCTACCGATCATTTTGGATATCCATTGTTTCTTAAACATTCATCAGTGATATTGATTTCGTTCTTTGTCTTTTATGGGAGCATCCTTGTCTTTAAAATATATAATGTCTCTCTTTGAGCCACAAATGATTATCATAACTTCCTGTTTAGTGTGTACCTCGTATCCGTTTCCGGCCTGTTATTCTACTCTTATCATAAAAGCGAATTGGCTGTTCAGTTAAAGTATGTCAGAATTATGTCACATTGAATGACTGATAGTGTATTTTACTGTTTGAGTTGTATGTGGTTGATGAAAAGCCTATGAAATAATAAAACAAATCCATCTTATCTCCTTTAAAATATGTTATTACTGCCTTATTCACATCATCATCACCCTGTTAGGACTTTATGATTTGTGGTATATGCTTAAATTGAATGGATCTACTGTTGAATCCCTTCATTTAAACACAAGACTGAACTACATTGACTCCTAGGTTAAAGATACGGAGTGTAGTGGTAGCTGAGCGTGTTGTTGACCACTTCACTTATTTGGGAAGTTGCATCAGCCAATGCCAGTGGGTTGATCACTGACGAAATCTCAGTACTGATACAGAAGGTTATTTTCGCATTCATCAAATTGTCATCTCTGGCGTAGACGTGATATCCAGCTGGCTGTCGACCAAAGGACGTGTTTACTGCTCAACAGTTCGCTCTGTCCTCCTTTATGGCTGTGAGCGAGACATGGCCATTGAAAGTGGAAGACATGAAAAGGCCGGTTAGCTGTCTTTGATCACTGGTGTCTGCGTTCCATCTCCCGTCTTAGGTGGTGGTATAATAGGGTGACTAATATTGAGGTTAGTCATAGAGTTTAAAAATAAGGAGGGGAAATCAATCGACAAGGTTGTGCGGCTATATCGATTGAGATGGTTGAAATGAGTGTTACCGATGCACGTCTAGCCATCGCCTTCCTCGATGGGCGATGTTAGCTGACATAAGATGGATCAGGTTGGAAAAGAGCCGCTGGTGGGCAAACCAAAGCATGGCTTCATCAGTCAATGGAATCCACAACAGTTAGTTTAAGCCAGCTAGCCAGCCACGTAGGGAGGTGTAAACTTCTTGACTGGTTGGGGTCCTCGGGATGGTAAAAACCAATGGCTGTAGACAATTAGTGATGTGGCTCAAAATCGTTCTCAATGAGTGGCGCAGATGCATACACTCTTTAGGATATAAAATATCCATTAAAACTCGATTGTTCTTCCATTTTGGTATTATTTTTGCCTCATATTTCTGTTTATCTCTCTCTTGAATCTCTCTTTACTGTCTTCTCTTGGTTTGTGTGCTACATGGAGGGTGGCAACTCGAACTACTGCACATCTGTGCAAAGTTCTACGTTGAAACTAGTCAGTCAGTCATTTAGACACCAAAGTATTCGAATTATAAGCTGCAATGCTACTGACTTATCCGTGATACTCAAGTGAACTCCTGCTTTACTCAAAGTAATCTGAGAAGTAATTTTGAACAATGTTGTTTTTTTCTTCTTTTAATATGCTTTAGCTTCATGGAATTATATCACTTGCAAATACTACTGTTGAAAGAAACATTCCGCATAAGAATCACGACAGCATTTATTCCCTTTCAGATGAAAATAAACAATCAGTTTATTTAAAATTTGGTCTAGTAGTAACCTATGCAACACGTTCACCAGTTCATAAATCATCAGAAGAACCAGATTCATGTGTACCAAGTAGAAGCTCTGAAAAAAGTGACCATCGTCGACATACGAAATCACAATCTCCGTGTCGTTATAGATTACGTAAACATCGTAAACGTTTTATATTTGGTGTTCCAAATCAATCTGATTATGAAACATGGATTAATGATATCAGTCGGTTGTCTGAAGATAATAAAACAGATACAGCTAATGAGGCGTCAACTGTTAATGATTCTAAAATGTTTAACTCTGTTCAAATGGGTAAATATTCTGGTAAGTATTATATTTGCTTCACTGTAACCTTATATGAAGATGTTACACAGGCACAGGCTAGTGAATTGTTGTAAATACTAAGACTGTTTACTCTTCTCAGTATCTGTTCTATTACTCTTATTAAGATCCAACCTAATGGTATATAGATAAATAGGCTTTGATTATGAATTACAGGCGATGATTATTAGATGTTGTCGGTTGTATATTAACTTTCTTGGCAGACTGGAGCTCTAATGACATTCAAAGAAGGAGAATATTTAACTGTGTTTCTAGCCTCATTTCAAACTTTCCCTTTTTACCTAGCTTACTACTGTTTAGGCGAGATTTAGGGATACCTCTACCGAGAATGGAACATGGACCACGTGCGTGGCTGGCAACCATTCTATCACTGAACCATCGAAGCACAAATCTCTCATTGCCTTTCCATCATCCTCTTCTATGCAAATAGATAGAGGGCTGTTGCACTAGTTTAATCGTTTTAGTTTATTACCACCTATTGATACATCAATACAACCCCCATAGATCAGGCTGATTTTAGATAATTTTACTGCCAGTAGTGAAAGCTTAAAACGCACGGTCAGTATTTTATCTCTGGGAAATCTAATAGTCTGATTATATCACCTTAGATATTATGACATGATTTTGTGTTTATTCTATTAATAACCTTTAATTTTGTCTCCATTTTAATTGTGTCTCAAAGAACTTAAATTTTATTGTTTATAATGTTTTCGAAAGGTTTGTGTTATCTAATGAACGAATGACTATGACAAGTTTTCATTACTGCCTATGAAATGTTATTATTTCTAAGAATTGAAACTTATCACTGTGTACAAATAACCATTATAAGTAAACTGTACTGTCTGTCTCCAAGTGTTGGTTTGCAAGAATCCGGTTGATTTCAAGTTTTATCATTGCCTTCATTTAGAGAGTCTCTGGAAATGGGAGAGTACTAGGCAGGCATCTCGTTCCAGTCTAGAACTCTTCATCAGTACACCCTCCTTTACCCCAGAGGGGAAGGAACCTGAGACTTTCAGGTTCTAAGGTCAGCCAACACTCTAAAATTAACCTAGTGCTCACTAGTTGCTGATTACAGGATGAAGTTCCCTGAAGTTCTGGTGAAACTCCGTGACCGGCGGAGTCCATCAAGTTGACTCTGAGTACAGATACTCGCCAATGACATTTGCTGGCAGTGGCGCTGCATACATCGTGACTTGGCAGAAGTTATAAGTGATGAACCATTAAATCCAGTCCTAGTGGCCGAATGGTATGCGAGTTCGCCCTGTAACCTGAAGATCGTGGATTCGCTGATGAAGAGTCCCGAACTGGGAAGAAACATCTGTACAGTCCCTACTTCTTTATTACCAGTGATACAATCGTCAAAAATAAGCCATGGTCGAGATGTCATTCATTTATCAGCGCCAACTCACTTTATTTTATCAAAATGAATAAATCTAGTGTAGAATGATTCTTGACCACAGCGGCCAGGAATAATAACTTTAGCTTAGAAAAATACATGCCTTAAAATTAAATTGCGGTGACATACCACTACACATTTGGTAGTGTATAATATGGTAAAAAATATATTCGGATTTACCGTAGAGTGCTAAGTAAGAAGAGGAAATTAATTAATGTGATTGTGAACATGTATCGGTTGAGATGTCCAGGAAGTATGTCACTCATGCCAAATCATCTTCTTCGTCCACAAATGTTAGTTGATATAAGTTTGGGTTGGGAAAGAACTAGGAGTGATCAAATCAAAACATGGCATCAGTCCACATTGTCTCTGACTGTTGGTTTGAGCCACACAAGGAGGTGTAGACTGCCTGGTTGGAGTCCTCGAGATGTTAAGAATCATTAGCTGGAGACTGTTATTGGCATGTCTCAGTGATGTAGATTCATTCACACCCTTTGTAATCTTGCAGACCCACTGAATCCTCACTATTCTGCATGTAATTACTCTTTCTCCCTTTAATTCGCATTTATTATGGGTTTTTAGATCTTCTTTTCTTACCTATATGTGTGGTTTATGAAATGCTGTACTTGTGTGCGAAGTTTTCAAAATTCAATTCACTTTACATTATCAGAGATTCCAGTAAACTGAAATATTCCTTCTAGTTTGTGTTTTTCTATTGAGAAATTCTTCATTTCAGATTACTTTCATTACTGTCATCATTAATATGAATAAATTCAACAGGTTTTGAATTACAATTAATAGTGTTCTCTGAGCTGGTTGGTTTAGTTGCGGAGCTTTCGTCGTCCTTCTGGACAACATCTTCAGCGCCATATTTAGCACAAAGTGAAATGATTTAAATTTCTTCATGAGTGATATAATTGCGTCTCCTGGTAACCATCTTTACATATGTATTGACCATTTTCTATTGACTTGGATTTTAAACTTTCTGGTCACCTGATTTACTTTTTATTAGTTGGTATATTTCGTCTATATTAACGTGTTTGTTAATTGCATTTTCGTTTGAGTACCAGGCTTCTAGGAATTCCCTGGCACTTTTGGTGTTTCCTCTGTCTAAGATTTTGACATTATCCCAATCAAATTGATGACCATAATTGTCTGTATGCATTGATACTAAAGAATGCATATCGTGTCTTTTCACGGCTGATTTGTGTTCTTGGATTCTAATTCGAAGGGGACGCCCACTTTGGCCGATGTAATGCTTGTTGCAGTTCATACAATTTATTTTGTAAATGGTATTAATTTTATCCCCTTTTTCTGTTGAATCTTTCGGTTTGCATAATATCGAATTAAGCGATTTGACTGGTTTGTGTGCTATATCTATATCAAACGGTTTCAGTATTCTAGCTGTTATTTCAGAGATATTTCTCATGTATGGTAGAATGAATTTTCTTGTGGTCTTTGGTGATGGTTCCTTGTTGGTGTTTTGATTCGACTTTAAGCACTTTTTGATGAAATTTTGTGGATAACCATTCTTTTTGAAGACTGTTTGTAGGTACTTTTCTTTCATTCTTTTCAACTCTGGAGTGCTACAATGTGTTTGAACTCTTTTAAACAATGTCTGCACACAGTTTCGTTTATGAGTAATTGGATTATTGCTAGTATAGTTGAGTATTTGATCTGTGTGCGTTGATTTTCTATATATTTGTGTTTCTAAATCTCCTGTGTTGGTTCTCCTGATTAAGACATCTAAAAATGGGATTTTGTTATCTAATTCTTCTTCTCTTGTGAATTTGATGTGAATTTGAATTAGTTGTGTTCTATAAGCTGGTTGACTTAACTGCAAGGCTTTCATCGTCTTTACAGGTTTCTTAACCTTCTATAAACTTAAACAATAAGTTAGTTATTACTTTTATTTATTTTTATTCAAGGAGTTGTTCGTCTACGTGATTCATGTACTTCAAAGCTTATCTATTCACAAGTTGCACAAAGATGTATAAAAAATACTAACACTTGTCAATATCAATCAGATTCTGGTGGATTACAAACAACTTCTCATCACAAGTCAACCCTCTTAACTTCATCATACAAAAATAACTTGGTTGAATTTTGTTGGCGACAGCATTCATCAATTTCATGTATTAAATTGTTAAATATTATTGATGTAAGTCGTATTGTTAAATTAACGCTTACTTTTAAATATCGTGTATCTTTTTTTTAAAACTTATAACTTGAACATATTATGGAGGTCTGTTTAAATCGCTGGGCTACCTTAATTTTCATCCAGTATAAAGCATCAATTTTATCGCCATTTTATGTTGTTTTAATCAATTAATTATGCCTTTGGATTGCAACATTTACTTATACACATTTTTAATTAGCTTTAAGTTTATTGTTGATGCGCTTCTCTAAGGAGATAAAGGAAAAGCATAGTAAAGGATTGGATCTTGCTTTAGGTGGAGTAACACTGCAGCACATGATATACTATCGATCAATATATTACTTGAAGATCCTATACGAAGAGAAAATGTCTTTCAATAAAAGACATTGAGAATGCTGTACTTTGTGTAAATATACTCTGAAGAATGAAGCTGTCGTCATTATTATTCTTATACTGATTGACCAGGTAATGTAAGCCAACTCCGCTAGTCTGCATTGAATAAACCGTATGGTATAGCATTTGGAAAGGATTTTAAGAGAATAATTCACAAAATAAACCGCTTTCCTCACTTCTATTCACTCTTGAAACGATGTTATTGTTGTCAGTTGGAGGAAAGACTTTAGGAGAAAGATACTACGGTACGTGAAAACACACGTTTAGTGTATGTTATGTACACAGAGAAAACTATGCGCCTGCATTGGTCAGCTCAAGATTTATTAAATCAAGAGGATTTCTATTGCTGCACTGTATTCCGAATCAATATTGATAGGCTTATTGCTACAAAATAACGAAACATCAGCAAAAAGTAATCTTGTTTTTATTTTCCTAGTTAAAATATGTAGATCTCCCTGAAAAAAGTAAAACTTTTTCACATTACTTAAACTGTAAACCAGCTATTTGACAGGATAGACAGAGAAGACAGGACTTCAGGTGAATGTAAAGAAAACAGAGGTGATAAAGGTGTTCAGACAACAACAAGCACCAGACAGCATCGTCCCATCTACAGGAGGAACTGATGAGGCTGTTAAAGCAAACGGGGATCTGGAAAACAAGACAAACGTTTACACTGTCGACACAGTTTTTTTCGTGTTACTCACTCAACTGCGAGGAAGTCGACGTCATATATTTACTTCCATCGGCCTTTATACGAGCCAGTTAGATAAAGATGGTGACGATGAACATCCATTTTAGCAGCAGTGAGTATCGCGGGTTCGACTATCAGAGGAAAACTCGATTCCCTCAAGGTTGCAGGCACGCTATTCTGACAAGTACCAGTAGGCATACAACCTAGGTTTGTGACTTTCTGTTGATTTCCTCCAACTATCTAACACTAAAACTAGTCTCACTCATTCTGAGTGTTTTGATAATTATGGAGAAATTGTCATCGTTTTTTTAAAACTGCTACCCTATTTTGTCCAGAGCCCACTAGACAGGTGTGCATGTGGAGTCTAAAAACATGCGTAAGCGGTTATCACAACGTTTCGTAGTTCATATTGATTCAGATAACACACATATGATTGTCTGCCGCGATGCAGTAGAGTATTTAGCTTTTTCTCCTTCACGTTCCAAGTGTAACATAGGGCTTCAAGCCAGAGGCTTGAAGTTTCTGTAGCAGTGGTAACTGTTTTTACAGGATGAGATAGCTAGTCTCATGCCCAACCTTTCCCCTTTACCAGATTTATTACTGGCTTAGCGAGGTGTGGAAGTGCGTCGACCGGCGATTGAAACCCGAACCACATGAGGCGTGGTTGGTGAGCATTCTACCGCTGCGCCACCGATGCACAAAGTATTTAGCTTACTACCTTAGAACTTATGCTGTCCCAATTCCTTGGAATAATCATAAAGTAGGCAGAATTCCACAGATAAGCACACTTACCACTGAACGACCGTGTCAGGACAGTTTGGTATATATCAGTGTATCTAACAAGACTTTACCATAATAACTGAAGGAGCTAAAACTATGGGTAAAACTACAGGCGAAGTCACACAGCCAGTGAAGGTTAGAGTAACGCAATTAGGCGTATTTTAGTTTGATGAGCATTTGATCAGTTATGCCACTTTTGAAATCTATTGTAGCAAAGTTATATAACGTTATCTCCGAAAATTCCACACCTCAACTTTTTCCACAACAGTCTACAGTAGATGGTAATTTTCTCTGTTGGAATGAAATTTCTTAAATTAATTCTAATTCCTTTAAACATACTACAGGTGACCAGCTTCAAACACAAGAACCCTAAGTTCTGTAAATATGCAAGGCTAACTTTTTTTTCCTTTTCAAATAATTTAAGGATAAATCTATAGGTATCATAAAAATTATATATTTTCAAAAGCGGCTTGTTATATATATATATATGTTAATGAAAGCAAATATACTATTTATTGATTACTTAATTATTACTTAATATTCCTCTTTAAAACCAAATATATCATTTTAATAATCTGAGCATTTATTTCATAGTCTGGTTTTTAAAAGTAATTTATTTTCGGAATGAATAATACCAGATTGTGAAGTGTCTCCTAGAATGTTGTTCACATACTAACAAAAAAATGAAACAGAATATCGAATTTTTCTTAATTCTGTATCTTGAGGACTAACTTTTTTTTCTTGTTTGTATCTTTCCAATTTCTTTGCTTAGGATTTATAGCTGGATAAGATTGTGAATTAAAACAAAATACCGTTATTCAGTTTTATTTTTGTACTAAACAAAGCACTTCTTTCGTTTCAATGGTTGGAATTTTGAAAAATGAAGTTAAAATTTAGCAATCCTCAATTTTTCTAATTGCCCACCTCTTATCACTCCTTTATGTTCTCAGTTGAAGGCGAAAATTCGAGTTTTTGAAGTTTCAGTAGTGATTATGAGGTGAGGTTATTAATCTCATGCCCAACCTTTCCTAGTTTCAGGGCTTACTACAGACTAGGTGATGTTGAGAAGTGTGTTGGTCGGGAGTCGAGCTCGGACCACCCGACTAGTAACAACTTAAGCTCAAAGAAGACGCCCCTATCATCTTGTTGGCGCTGGGGTGTTTGCCATTTCGACAAATCTTGCCCGCATAAACAAAATCGGCGTCAAGACTTTAATGATGTGGGACATAAAGACGGCTTTCTCCAGCGACTTACACGATAACATTCACATTTCAGTCATCCTACAGACATCTTCACATCACATTATCACCCAGAAGTTAAATCTGTTAGTCTGTTGGCTGTTTCTCATTTTTGTGAAACTGTCCACCGACAATTTACTACTGTTCATGCGAATAAACACAGCCTGTCGAAGCACAAGTGGGAAGGAAGCTACAAGCTGTACACGACAGTTAAATACCTAAGCTACCTGCAGCTAAGCTGCTAATCATTCGAAGGACGCAGTAAGTGCGCTGAAAGATTGAGAAGTAGCAGAAATGTTAATGTATGTACCATCACTGAATCACCTTCTAACCATAATTAATCTTCTTTTCCATTATTCTTCCTTCTTTCAATACTTTAGGATGAAATGTCTGGTTACTTATTTCGTCTTTCTAAACGTGGAACTGGTAGTAGACAAAAACTATGGGCTATTCTATCAGATTTATGTTTAAAATTCTATAAAACATATCATCATTATAAACTATTAGCACGTTTATGGTTATCATCTGATAAATGTACTATTGAATTAATAACACTGGATTCATTATCATTTGAACATGATTCTACTGGAGTGGACTGTGAACACCACCGTCATAAACGTCATCACCATCATCATCAGCAGCGGCGGCATCGTCATCATGTTGTATATGGTCAAGCTATTAAAATTTCTCATAATTCTAAAGACTATTATTTTCAAGCTGAAAATGAATTTCTTTTGAAAAGGTAACTAAATTATTATTTCGTGTTTCTCTTTTGTCTCATTTCATTTCATCATAATTGCATTAGCTTAAAATATCATTTGACAATAATGCCTGTAAGGAATAAGCCATACTCTCTGCATGAGGACTTCTTTAGACTGAATGAATTTGATTATTCTTAAGTGATAAGATGAAACCCAACTACTTTTAAATAATAAGGTACGGCTTTCCTGTCCTATATTGTTAATTAAGTGATTCGTATATTTGCATTAACCTGGAATTTACATAGAAATTTGCGTATTCATTTATTCGCCGCGGGTTCCTTTGGAAATCAAAAATGTTTAGATCAAAATATGTTTTCTGCTTGATACCATGTGGGGGGGGGCAGTCAAGAAAGCAAACAGAATTGCATGATCGTATATAATACTGTGGTGAATTCGCAAACTGCAAATCCGATTCTATGTGTTGTCAGTTCGCTTAAGTAGTTAACCACAATTCAGGTAGATCTAACTGATTCGGTGTTTTGAGCTGAGTTAAATCGGGTAGATCGCTGATGAGGTCAGCCTAAAACAACTAAAACAGACGTACGGTGTTCAGATCAGTTCCATCAAACTAGTAAACATTATTAATTGATTTCAGTGGTTTCTAACTACTTATATTAACAAGTAGTATATACCATTACGTAGTCATAACTACTCCTCTCCTCTGAATATAGTAGGTGGACTACATACCTATTCTGTGAGAGAAGTAAAAGTTACCAAAAAGATAGAATATACCAATATAATTAATTTCATGTTATGTCCACTGAAGAAGCATTATTATGAATTTATTGATAAAAGTTTGTGAGTTGGTACTGCATTTAGTTTTTCGTACGCTTTATAAAACACCCCTTACCGTCTGTACTAAAGGTATTTTCCAGCCATTTCAAATGAATAGATTGCCTTTATGTCACTCTATACATAAGCTTAACTAAGTCCTTTATCACGCAGATTGAATGAGGATGTCAAAGCCAGCTAGGACTGGGAAACCAAGGGCTAAGTGGACTGCCAATAGCTACCACCATCTATTTGGCTGTAAAGAGTGTTGTCAAACTGGAATTGTACATTCATGGTACACACTAGCAGTAGGTGTTTGAATCCCGACAATGGGAGTGTGAGAAGATCAGATTGCTGACCAATGATCTCGATAGTTTCATTGATTGGGAACCTTGTGAACAATGAGGTCACATCGAATAATGCCATGAACTTGATATAAGGCTAAAACTTGGACACTTTGGTTCAGTATAATTCCATTTTGGATAAAATTTATTTTGATAAGGTTACGCAGTATTATACAGTAATATTTACTGATGGCGTTTCGAGCACAATTTATTGCTCGTAAACATATCATTGATTATGCATTGTAATCGAGTAGATTCTTTAGTCTGCTGTCCTGGAACCTAATGACAATGGGTTTCGGTAACATAGGTTTGTAGCGACAGAAGACAAGGGTCAAGCAACAGATCGTTTATTGAGAAAATCAAGGGATATTTATAGATTTTTATGTACATCATTGTCAGAGGAGAAGCAACGACTTCTGATAGGTTGAAGTCTGCTGTGATTGGTTGGTGAGTTCCTCAAGGTTAGGCTTTGTTATTGTTTTTCTCATGACCCTGATTCTGGACGTAACACTGACTTAAATTTCAGCCTACAATTTTGGCTTGCAGCCAGCTCTCACCACATGTTTTCAACAATAAATTATCTAGTTTGATTATTTGGTTTTTTTAAAAATCTTTCTTTTCAGATGGTATAATTCAATTTTAAATGTATTAAACTGTTCAACAAGTGAACGCGGTCAAATTGAAAATACACTAACAGACGATGATTTAGCTCTAGTCAATGAATCAATATCAACATCATGCCTGTCAACAACATCAGATGCCAAACTGATATTCACCTGCAGATCTGTATCTTCTGAGAAACCAAAGGAACAATTTGAAGTCAATAATGAGTAAAATAATGATAATACATCAATAAGTTATATATAGGCACCTTTTCAACTACCTCAATATTTTATGTATAGGTGATAAATCTTTGGTTATCACATTTTTCCGTCGTATTTTTGTTTTGATATTCGTACTTCGTTATTTTATGTTTTGTTTAATTTTTCAAAAACCACTGTTGTTGTCAAGTGACCTGTGAATCTGTTATTATTATTATTATCATTCCCTTGTGTTCTGAGTGGAACACAAGGCTTCAGCAGCACTTCCTTCCTTCATTCTGTCCTGTGAAGTCTCTTTTAACTGGCTCCACCATTCCTTATATGATCTCCTGCATATCACCTTGAAGGCGATGCCCAACTCTATTCCCACTCGTGGGCATGATTGGGGTGGGGGGGGGTTGGATCTAACACACTACTTTATCTATCTGATTGTCTCCTTCGATTACTGAAAACTGCATCAAAACATTACATTTATCTTATGTTTTATGTATGATAATATGCTTCAATAGTTTATGGCATTGTAATTCCAGAAATATCCTATGCTTTTTGCTTCGAATTAATATTCTTCTTTTAGTGTGATATTTTATCGTGGTGTATGCGTATTATTCCACCAATTTCTTTTATTTGTAGTAGATACTTTTATAAAACTGCTTCTTATTCAATTTTACTGTATTGTATTCCAGAGAGCTTGTTTTTTTTAAATATTTCACTATACCCATACACACACCTCTGTACATGGAAATGGGCGCCCATTATCTTTTATAATTCTCTTATAACCCCTTTCTCTTTTCTTACTGGAAGTGCTCATTCTTTTTTTATTTCGTCTATTATTAATAATCATATGTATGGTGTTGTCACTTATTTTATTTATATGTATTCTCTATGATTTTGTACAGTTCTTATTATACACTGAGATGTGTAGCTTGGGCCATTTTCTTCTAGTTTTTAACTTAATGCTTTAACATGTTTGACCTAACCTGTTCCAGATTTATTACAGCACAGTAAAATTATTATTATTACGGAAGATTGTATGAGGTGTAGCTTCTCTATAGCACACTTTCTTTTCATATGAATGAAGTGTAATTATTGTTAACAGAATTGTTAAAATGTGTTAGATTATCAGATGATACTGCTTAACCTTCATACAAATAAATAAGACTATGTTGTACATATATCTATCTATGTTTTCCTCATATGCTGTCGACAGTATCTATGATTAGACTGTCTGTTTCATAATAATAACTGATAAACTTGAAACCGCACGGAAAAGCTGCATCTCGCCTACCACAGCTTCTAATATGTGATTTTCGTGTTCTTATTAGATTATCATGCTTGTAATTGAAGAAACACATTCCTGACAGTATAATGTATCTTGAACTTCCTTTAAAATGTAGACAAGATTAATTCAAACAAACCTGTATTCGACTAGATATGTCATATTGAAATATTCCTGTCCGTTTGCTTTAGGTTTTCTATTCTGATCTACATTAATAATGGTATTATAGACGTAAGTAGGTCAGTTGAATCAACAGTCTACAACTTCGTCGATATTTGGTGATAACTTATACTGTTGTAGTGGAGTGGTTAAGGAGTACACACTCGTTTAAAACACTCTTCTTAACTGTCAGTTTTTGGATGAACTGCTTTATTACATCGAGTTAGGAAATGAATCTGTTATAAACCTCCTTAGATGCATGTTTGACGGCAAAATCAAGAGGATATTTAAGAAATGAATCTTTAGAGGATTATTTTTGTCTGAATTTTGATGCTTCTCAGTTATCTGACGGTTGTATTTGGTCGACTTTTTCTCTGCACAGTACATATTTGTGTCAGAGAGACACTTGAACTTTGAAGCATACCACACAGCATTGTTGAGGTATTGACTTATTTCCGACATGACCTATTCCTGTTCACTAGCATCCAAGATTTTACCACATCAAATCGTGTTTTGATACTTTCAGAATATGATGTTTGGCTGAGCATAACTGCAGGAATTTCGGCGGAATATGCAGGAAAATGTGGCACATTGCCTTGGCCTTAGTTACTTGATTTTGTTGATTCGTTTCCTGTCTTAAGACGGAAATATCCGAGTTTTGGTTGTTACAACTTCATCAAAATACATTGAAACTCTAGTTAATAATCTAGTGCTTTTTTCATGCTGCCCATTTAACCAACTATGTGAAACAGAATAATTTATTTAGGAGATGTCATCCGGTTTAATGTCAAAAAATTATTCCTTTTCAGCATGATGAGTGAAATACCAGTGTGGTGAGAGCTTGTAGTGACCCATTTTATTACTCATCATCGTACTATACTTTCATTGTGTAATTGTACTTTGATTCGTTTATTACTCTAAATCTTGCATGTTAACAATTGATACATTTGTACTCGCTCGATTTTTGAATTTTGATTACGGCGAGAATATGCATTCCTACACCTTCTCAAGTGTCTTCTGATTTACGTTGTGTGTGTCGAGTAAGCACAACGTTAGGACACAATATATAAACGAGAAGAAGTACTAGGATATATGTGTACGCTAGTTTAACCAAAATATAGCAAAACAACAAGCTTCTACTAGCCGAATTGGTAGACAGTAATTTACGTCAATGTTTACGTTCTCAATATTGGTCGTGAGAAAAATATGAACAAAGACTGATTCAACAACCAATCACAGCGGACTTTGCGTAGGCGGATACAATTTGCAGATAGACAATCTGAACTTCAATAAACGGCCACAAAGAGATGAAAGATTAACGTTCAGCGAGAAACCACCAATCAGAAGACTGTGTTTGTCTGTCAACAATAATCTATAATAATGTACATGAAAATCTATAAATATCTGTTGATTTCCTAAATAAACGATCTGTTGCCTGATTCTTGCCTTCTGTCGTTACACCAGTAATTCGTCCTTGATAGGACAATGCAAACTGAATCAAACTTGCATTCAATGGACTTCCTGTGCTTCGAAGTTATGAAAACGTCAAAACTTCCCGAATCATAAAACTGTGTTCTAATGAAGTCATGATTTAAAGGACTGAATATTTATATTGTGAAAAATGTACTACTATAGTGTTCCGTGCGTTGAAACTGTCACGCATCTCAGTATCACCAAAATTATGAACAGATTCTCAAAACTAAAGCCAATCCAGGTACGAAAATGACGCAAAACATGTTTACAAACTTTACGTTGTATAGTGAAAGCATAAACTCCATATTTTAAGAAATATACCTCGATAGGCAAACATTATGCCTACTACATCTCTGCTTCAATATGACTAACATACATCCGACTAAAATGACATTTCAGACATTTTGACTGCAAGTTTCGAGAGATATAACAGATGGATTCAGTGAGACTGATAAGCAGTTGTTGGGTGAAAATTATTGACAGCCGAAGGTGACATAGAATTTTAAATTAACAAGTGCTGTACACAGTCTCATGCAACATTTCTGATTGGGAGGTATGCTAAAGAAAGCTTCGCAATCCAAATTTTCAATTGTTAGTCTCAAATATTTAAGAAGCTAACCAACAACGATCATTTCCCACTTTTCTCTTTTTCCTAAATGTACGACTTAAGATAATATAAAATGGACACTTATAAAACAGACAAGACACAGCTTATTCATTCTAAGGATTTCTATTTAGTGGAATTTACTGCTGGCTGACATGTGCCCCAGCGTGCCAAGAATCAACACACACGCAAAGTCAAACGCTCTGTTGGGATCCACTGGAAATGCAGTCAAAGTGTGAGGGGTTGTACTAACCTTACAGTTATCCCCTTCGAAATCTCCCTTTTTATTTTTGCTCTCACTTAATTGTTTTAATAATATCGCCCGGTTTATCAGGTCACTGGCTAGTCTTATGCAGGTAAAATGGTGGAGTGAGGCTGGCGACCCTTATCCAGAAAATCAACTTCATCAAAACAGAAATTTCGAAGCAGAGAAAAAAGCACAAGAGTAAATGTATTCTTCGCCGAAACCCTTGGGACTAAGTGACAGGAGATGGTGAAATCGACGGGGAGAAAGCCGGCCGACAAGTTCGTTTTCGGTGAAGGCAAAAATAAGCTAGGGTAAAAGAAATTTATGTACAATGTTTAAAGATGGCAAGCTCACGTAGTGAGAAATGAGTGTGAAGGTTTAGCACAGAAGTGCCAGGAATCTGTGAGGGGAGGTGCAATTGAATTGGGCTCTAAAGATTTAATAAAAACACACAATGATACTGAGTTATTTCCTGGAATGCAATCAGATCCCTCTAATTGTTAAATGCAAGTCAGTAATCAGCTTCAGTCACGTGGAAAATAAACACAGATGTTCTGGGGGGTGGTTTAACATAATGTTGCCAACGGTATCCACAGCTCTTATTCAGTGAGAATCATCCTGCCCCAGATAAGTGACAGCAAGATTGAAACCAAAAGAAAAGAAAGTACGCAACGCTACAAAACTCAGAAAAAGAGGGTAAGAAAGACTTCTGCAGACCACTGGAAACGGTAATGGGCAAGATCCAAAATGGGAAAATAGAAGCCCTGATGAGTGATAATAGTATGCAACATCGTGTATGGGGAGGCTCTCATTGTATAATCCGTACAACTCGCAAACGTCGATATTTGCAACCACCAAATGTGTTTCACCGGATGGACACATTGAAAATCAGATAAACTTCATCTCCATCTCAAGAAATTGAAGCCTCAGCCTGCTGAACACAAGAAGATACGGAAGCGGAGATATGGGCTCAGATCATTATGTCGTGCAAGGAATTTTGAGCGTTAAGTTATAAGCTCTCAAAGAAGCTGCAGACAGAACACCGGAACTCTCTGAAAATGACGTTAGAGGTAGTATGTAAAGCCGTTTTGGGGAGGAAATAGAGGCAAGATATAGAGTGGCTCTCTACAGACACGTGGAAGCTAGTAGAGGGGAGAGGAGTTGTGAAACAGGAAATGGACCATTGCAGAGAAGGACAACGTAAGGATAAGCTGAGTTTAGTCTATAACGCACTGAACAAATAAAGAACTAGAGGAGAGTGCTGGGAGAGATAAAAACCTAGTCTACAAAAAACGGGTGTCTGAGGCAAAACAGGTAGCAGGCAAGAGAGACCTCAGAACACCAATAGATAACCAGGTGTGTATTCAGGAAGAGATCGACTCAGGAGCAACCAATGAAGAGTATTGAACGAAACCTTAATTACTACGCCACTACTGTGGAAAGTTCGGAAGGAAGAAAAGGTGCCTGGTGGTTGGAAGAAAGGCTTCGTTGTTACACTTTAAAAGGACCACTTAAGACTCTGCAAAAACTGGCTTAGTACCACGTTCCTATCTACGTTAGGCAGAATATTAGGTCACGTCATCCAAGAGAAATAAAATGATGCTTTGGGTTCAAAACTTTGCCTAGAACAAGGTGGATTCACGAAAAACGATTCATGCTCAGACTGAATTGCAACTCTACTCATTATCATCACCAACGAATAAAGCATAGAATAGCAGTCCTTCCTCTACCTCACTTTCGTCGGCCTCGAAAAGGCCCTCGACAGTGTTGATCCTGAAGTAATTTGGAAGATACTTCAACACAATAGTGTGCAGTGCCTCAGGCCTTTATCAGCCTCACTCAACAATTACATGACAATGCTACATGTCAAGTAACCCATAGTGGAAAACTCAATGAAGCCTATGAAGTGAAGAAAGAAGTATGACAAGACTACCTACTATCACCAATGATATTCTTAACTGTGATGTACTGGATTTCGCAGCAGACTGTTGAGAGAGGGAAGACAGCAATACGTTGGACAGAGAAGAAGACTCTAAAAGATTTGGACTTAGCGGACGATTAATGTGTGATGTTGCATGAACTCGAAGATCTACAGGTACAAATCAGTAAGCTGGAGGAAGAAAGGGGCTCCACGTAAACACAGAGGATACATAAGTGATGAAGATGCCAAGCAAACAACATGCACGAGTCACTATCAAGGGGGAAATTTGAAAGAAGTCACCTATACATTCATCATAACGACAGAATTCCTGAAACTACAGGAGGCAAGGATGAGTATGAAAAAATGGAATTGAAAGGGCAAGAAAAACCTGAACAAACTAATCAAGAATCTACTGCTCAAAAAATATATGGAAGAAAATAGAAATGGACCGGGCGCACGCTGCGTGTACTGCCAAGTGAAATCATTATCCAGGCCCCGGACGAAACCCTAATGGAAAATAACGGAGAGTAGGAGATCATCCAAGGAAGAGATGAGGGGTTTTGGAGCTAGCCAAAACCATCTAAAACAGAATGAAATGGAGATGTGCTGTTGAAACCACGTTTTTCTAGGAGCTGTAGCGGTAAATAATTCCCCAAAATTATTGACCACAGCAATCATCACTGAACATTGGATACTGACCCTCACTGTTTAATTTGACTTGTTTAGC